TCCACAGGCTGATGCTCTATCCACTGAGCCAAACCAGCTAAGGCTTAATTCATTATTTACCAGCACTTTCTTCATAAAAATCAAGATTTTAGCTATTTCCTATGTGGGCATTTTTAATACCATCACCTTAGAACTCAGTGAAAACTGAAATTAAACCTCAGTGTCCCTAAATCTGTAGCCAATAGCTGAGCCCACAAAGAAGGATGCCATTACTAGCATTATCAATCTATAATTAGTTAATGCCTAGTTTCTTAAGGTCCATCACTGATAAAAAGAAATATGACCTCTACCTTCATCAAGAAGGCTACACTTCAAATGGAGAGGAAAGCTAAAACACAAAGAAGACAGCAAACACTAAAGGGTGTTCACAGTGAAGGGCTTCATTCCACAGTATTCACCACAAGTGCCACAGGAATCTGACATTGTGTGGCTGCGGAACATTTAGGAGACTGGTCAAAACAGAAGTCCTGGGAAGTAAGGTGGGATAGGTGCTATGGTGCCAGATTTCTGAAAACCTTGAAAGCCCCAAAGAGAAGAGATGCTCAGATACTTGTTCCTGTGCCAAATCTAGCCACACCACTAGCCAAAAACTGTCTCTTAGCCAAGGTGGTGTTTCCTTTCCCCACTCTCCACTGCTGAGGTCTTTTACGCCATGGGTGGTCCACACGGCTCTCTTGTCTTGCTTGGAATAACGAAGCGAATTAAAGTAGGGTAGGAGGCAGTACAAGGTCAGTCCCAGGAAGAAACAGATATAGGACAAAGCCAGGCTGGGTAAGAACATCCCCACTTGAGGAACTTAATATGAGCAGATCATAAATTAGAAAATCAACCCCACAAACCAATCCTCAAGAAAAGTACATGGGATTTGGCAGAAAAAAAATCAAATTTAAAATTACAAAAAGATAAGCCTTAATAGAGTTCATGTAAATTGTACCTCTAAATATAAAACCAACAACTGTATGGAGTATCAAGCCTTAATAATCAAGACAACTTAAAAATGTAGTTTTTCATATTCTAGGCACATTGAATAAAATATCAAAATGAATCCATAGGCACAACAAGACTTCTACTTAAATAGCTAACCACGGGATAAATAGCCAAGCATGAAACCACTACTCCGAGAAAAAGAGCCATGTTAAGTTGTCTTAAGTCCAACATGTTTCCCATCAAACCATTACAGTAAATTAAATCTTGCAGGTGAACACTTGAATTATCGGAGGGAACACATTGTAAAGTATATGAATGTCTATCTGCTGTGCTGTACCCCTGAAACTAATACAAAATAGTGTGGAATGCAAACTGTAATCAAAAAATGAAATAATAATTTAAAAATTAAATCTTGGATTTTCCAGTACAAAAAAATTAAGAAATATGAACCAGCTGATCCAGCCTGGATTAATGGCAGAAGGACAGAAATGGAAACCAGTTGAGTACAGCCTCCGGAGTCTTGGGCCATCACAGCCACATCAAGAAGCCCCTCTCTGTGAATCTTCCCAGATCTAGTCTTCTGGTCCTGTACCACCCGGGACCTACGTTGATGACCTGGCCAGTATTATCCTCATGTCAAGGCAACAATATGCGGCTACTCTGAAAACCATGTTGGGGTGAAAATCCTCATTCAGTATTTCCTTGGCATGAGTTAAGATGCTGCATTTGTACTAAATGACTGTTTCCAGTTTTAGAAAAGGCTAGAACATACTGAGATGCACTGTAATATGTTAAAAGCACGTTCACATTTTAAAATGGATACTATTGAACCATTTTGGATCATGAAATATATTTAGAGTGCTGAATAAAATATTAAGAACAGGATGTTCACACATTAACCTGCCCTAAAATTATTTTAAAACCGCACAACAGGCATACGTTCTATTTTGAAACTAAAGTTCAGCTCTCCAGTCAACTTTTAAGTGAGAGAAACATGTTTCTTTCTTCTAAGAGTTAGACTTCTCCATAAGAAGGAAGAGCCAGTGCCTACTTGCATATGAATTTTAACTGTTGACTTTTGATCCAGATTCATATGGTTGTTCTTGTCTTTCTGACCTCAAGGGACAAAGGACAAGAATGGTGAGAATGCTGGAAGTGGCATCCATTCTCACAGGGATTAGACACATGAAAAAAAGTTTATAGAAGGCAGAGAAGAGGAGACAGCCAAAGGATTTGAGACTCTATAGAAAGTAGCCCAAACTTGCTGAATGATGTCATGGAATTAGAGTGTTCAACAAGTGGAGACAAAGTGATGAATATAAATCACCCAGGATGAAGCTCAAGTCATGTTTTCTGAACAATCTTCTTAAATAATAAAATGCTGCAAGTAATAATTCACTTAAAAATTTATCAGCGGTTTAAATAAGACACTTGACAAACAGGAAATATTGATCAAGTTCTGTTAAAAAAACAATTTATTCATGTGTAATATATCAATGTCAATATGAAATGATAAGGTGGAAAGAAGCAAACACTATTTTGTTACTATTTAAATGGCACCTACAGGACAAGCCCAGAGTGTATCACAGATCTATTGTATGTAAAATACATACACTGCTAGAGAGAGAGAGAGATATGCAGTGTTTATTTTGTTGACGAACCACAACAAATATGAAAGCATATGAGAGCTCATTACAAAATTGCAATAAGACGTGCATTGCTTGGCCCCAACTTGCTTCTTAAGGACACCATAGACTTGGGTAGTGTTCAAAAGATCTATGGAGTAGCAGGGCAAATTACAGGTGTGAAAGCTGCATTGCCATAGCTACGTTTTATTTTTTTTTAATATATTTTTATTGATTTCAGAGAAGGGAGGAGAGAGAGATAGAAACATCAATAGTGAGAGACAATCATTGATTGGCTGCCTCCTGCACACTCCCTGCTGGAGATTGAGCCCACAACCTGGGCATGTGCCCTTGACCAGAATCGAACCCAGGACCCTTCAGTCTGCAGGCCGATGTTCTATCCACTGAGCCAAACCAGCTAGGGTCATAGCTATGTTTTAAAAGGACAAAGAAAAGATCACCCAAAAAAGGAATTGTTATAATGTTGTACAAATGTACATCTATAAATTACATTTTTTGCATAAACTTCCCAGGAAATGATTTCAAATTTTGAGGACAATTTCATCGTCTTTCTCAGAATGGATTCAGGAGCTACCCAGAGGTGGGAGAGCAGGGAAGACCTCAATCAAGTTCAGTCTGGAAATCCTGGTTGGCTGTCAGCTGGGACAGACAACTGACCAGATAGGTATTATCTTTCAACCTACGCATCCATCACAAGACTTGTTCTAAGTGCTTTGCAACAGCCAAAGATAATGTTATAATATGTTATGATATAGAGTTATAATAAGGAATATTCTAACAAGAGAACAAGGTCACTTTGGGAAGCTAATAAATATCCATCGCCATCCTGGGGAGAGGAATTATCTCAGTGACCGACTGGTTTGAAATGGTATTTCAGAGGGGAGTGCTACACCAGCAGACTGCCGCCACCGCTGATGCATCCGATTCTGCTACAACTGAGATGAATGAACCGTAGTGGACTTTTCAGGTCCTAGAGAGAGAACTACGGTCTTCAGGAGCCCTGGAATGCAAAAAGCTCCCCCTGGGTGAATCCACCAAAAACCAATTTGTGCACAGAGATAATTTCATGATTTCACCTCAGCAATATGTTTCCAAAATATCATATTCCCTAATGAAGTTTATTTTTAAAAGCTCTTTAGGAAAAATAATCCAAGATCTTAGGCTACTTCAATTAATAACTCAGACAAGTAAGATTCCATTTCATGTAATGAAAAACACCTGGAAGCAAAATTATTAACTGCAGATATCAGCCCCTATTCTGCAAATACTATAGGCCCCGAATTAGCTAAGACACTGCAAATGTCAACATAGTACAAAATGCTCAGTGTGGCCCATAGGTGAGGGGTAAGGTACCCTCCTCCTTCCATGAAATCTCAAAACCTTACCTCCTCTTAAAAGTGGAATAGATTATCTGTTTTACTTGAAAGAGAAGTTAGAAGAGAGAAAATGCCTGTATGTAGATATTCTTTCTTACAAAGTGAATAGGAACTATCTGATACTAACAACAGAGAAAGGAATCCTTTCCAGAGTGAGTCACAGACAAAAACGCGCATGCCATATTCAGAAAGGAACCAAGCGAAGTCTCTCTAATAGGTTTTAACTCAACTCAAAAAAAAAAGTTATTGGTTGCTTATAATATGCAAGTACAGTGGTAAGGTAATAGAGCTAAACTATCAAAGGAGGATATAGAATCATACACTTGAAAAAAGATCAAAGTTAATCCTAAAAGATTAACACTTAAGATTTCTCAAAGAAAACTGAAAATGTTTCCCTAATTCTCAAACAATGCTGATTTCAATGACCATTTCTTTCAAGGTATGAATCACTGTTTTGTGGCCACTTAGAGAAGTTTCAAAGATAATGATTTTTGAGAGTAACTGAACTGGTGGTACCTGTACGTCAACATATCACCAAATTTTATTTCTGGAGTGAGCAATGATCAATGGACTGAGCCACTGATGAGATGAGACATTTGAAAAAAGTGGTTAAGAAGGAATTGAAGGATTAGTAGAATGAATTTTTCTGAAGGCGACAGTGTGAAAATACCTTGTAAAATGTATGACAGACAGTGGAATCAGGGAAGGACAACTATGCTTGCCCTACCAACACTTTTGTTTTTTTATAGAGACTGAACTAAATTTCAGAAAATGCATTAATTTCCAAATGTAATTGTTTATCATTTAAGCCAAAAGACAACTTTCAATGTATTAAACTTTTAAAAAATGTTTACTGAATGGACCTGTGGTGTAAGAAGCCAAAGAGAAGCAAAAGTCAAATTGAGGGTGCCAAAAAAATTAAAAGAAAATAAAAAATGTTCACAAATTTCAAAACACTTTGTACCACAGAATGAGCATAGCATTGCAGACTACAGTCTTCAAGAAATCAGCAACTGGACAGCCATTGCAGTACACTGAGCTCCATAGACAGCGCCGGGGCAAGTGCGAGCCGGCCGGGCGCTGGGTGACTGTGTGCTCGCTGAGGGAAAGTAATTACACATGGGCAAAGGAGATCCTAAGAAGCCGAGAGGCAAAATGTCATCGTATGCCTTCTTTGTGCAAACTTGCCGGGAGGAACACAAGAAGAAGCACCCAGATGCTTCCGTCAACTTCTCAGAGTTTTCTAAGAAGTGCTCAGAGAGGTGGAAGACCATGTCTGCTAAGGAGAAAGGAAAATTTGAAGACATGGCAAAGGCGGACAAGGCTCGTTACGAGAGAGAAATGAAAACTTATAGTCCTCCCAAAGGGGAAACAAAAAAGAAATTCAAGGATCCCAATGCACCCAAGAGGCCTCCTTCGGCCTTTTTCTTGTTTTGTTCTGAGTATCGCCCAAAAATCAAAGGGGAGCATCCTGGCCTATCCATTGGTGACGTTGCAAAGAAGCTGGGAGAGATGTGGAATAACACTGCTGCAGATGACAAGCAGCCTTATGAAAAGAAGGCTGCTAAGCTGAAGGAGAAATATGAAAAGATATTGTTGCATACCGAGCTAAAGGAAAGCCTGATGCTGCCAAAAAGGGAGTTGTCAAGGCTGAAAAAAGCAAGAAAAAGAAGGAAGAGGAAGAAGATGAGGAAGATGAAGAAGATGATGATGAATAAGTTGGTTCTAGTGCAGTTTTTTTTTCTTGTCTATAAAGCATTTAACCCCCCTGTACACAACTCACTCCTTTTAAAGAAAAAAATTAAAATGTAAGGCTGTGTAAGATTTGTTTTTAAACTGTACATTGTCTTTTTTTGTATAGTTAACACACTACCGAATGTGTCTTTAGATAGCCCTGTCCTGATGGTATTTTCAATAGCCACTAACCTTGCTTGGTACAGTATGGGGGTTGTAAATTGGCATGGAAATTTAAAGCAGGTTCTTGTTGGTGCACAGCACAAATTAGTTATATATGGGGATGGTAGTTTTTCATCTTCAGTTGTCTCTGATGCAGCTTATACGAAATAATTGTTGTTCTGTTAACTGAATACCGCTCTGTAATTGCAAAAAAAAAAAAAAGTTGCCGCTGTTTTGTTGATATTCTGAATGCTTCTAAGTAAATACAATTTTTTTTATTAAAAAAAAAGAAATCAGCAACTGTGTTCAGCACTAAGTCAGAAAATGAATCATGCATGCTTTTATCTTAATACCAGATTATTTTTCATACATAGCTCAAAACATATTGATTGGACTCCAGCTTTCTCCAAATGCTCAAAACTATTCACTTTAATGGAAGTATTATATTCATGTAAAATGTTATAATCTACGCCCATGATTTTTAACCTGTGTGTTGCAAGAATTTTTAAAGCATGCAATACCTTACCATTTAGTCAAGGAAACTGAGTTCTTTTCTTTAGAATATCAAATAAAAAAATGACAACAGCCCTAACCGGTTTGGCTCAGTGGATAGAGTGTCAGCCTGCGGACTGAAGGTCCCAGTTCCATTCCAGTCAAGGGCATGTACCTTGGTTTTGGGCACATCCCCAGTAGGAGGTGTGCAGGAGGCAGCTGATCGATGTTTCTCTCTCATCGATGTTTCTCTCTATCCCTCTCCCTTCCTCTCTGTAAAAAAATCAATAAAATATATTTTTTAAAAATGACAACAGTCAACACAATAGCTGTTCAGTGTGAATGAATCAAAATTATACCTATTTTTCTGTCAAATCAGCAAAAAATATACTTTTTTGGTGTGCCACATAATTTTAGTAATTACTTTATGTGTGCCATGAGATGAAAAGGGTTGAAAATCGCTGAGCTACGTAATTACGTTGTATTACAACTGAATAATTGGCGGTATGCTGTATTAGTGTCTCTAATCTGAACACAGCTCCACGCCCGAGAGGACAGATTACCATGCTGACCTAATACACACCAGTAATCCCTACGAGAGCAACTCCTCTCCTGGTTATTCCATGAGAAAGTCAAAACAAACCCAACCTTGCAATGAACATTCCAGAACTCAAAACATATTTTTAAGAGAAGTTTAACAGTAATCATTCCATTTTCAAGACAAGATATAAAGTTAAGAAAAGATAGCCTACTCTGATATTCATTTATTTGTTCAAAGGCATTAAATAAGCGTTAAGTCTAAGGGATTACTGGGAAAACCCAGTAAATTAGTGGGAGTTGGAGCAGGTTCCAAAGAAACATAAGACATGCACTCTTTGCCCTTGAGACGTTCACAGTCTAGTTAAGGAGAAAACAATTACCCAGCATTTTGAACCTCACTTAAAGACTGTGGAGAAATCAAACTTTTGTTAATCTATGTATTTTAAATGCCATCCATTTAACTGCCAAAGTTGGATTACCGCCTCTTCCAAGCCTGAGAGGAAATATAATTAAAAACAAAAAATTTGTACAGCTAAAAGTTCTGTAGAATGTGTCTTTGTAAAAAGCCTAAATGTGCCACTTCTGGGACTCCAATGTTTATCCATCAGGCTTACTTAGAAAGGGATCCACGTGGATATGCAAGTGCAAGTGTGCTATGAGCTATGCACCTGTGTCCTCAAAGCTATACAGCAGTGCTGAGCAGCTGGAAGGTGCTCCGACACTTGGAGACTGACGGAGAAGTTGAAAGCAGGAAAGGGAGAGGAGGATGGGGAGACAGACCTAGATGCGCCTGTAGCAGCTGCCAGGGAGCTGAGTCCAGCCCAGAGAAAGCCGGAGGGCTCTTCCCTGGCGGCAGAAACTAAGGAGGCAATGAGCATCGTGGAGACGTCAGAAGGCAGAAGGGGGCATGGGATATGGAGAGTTCGCTTCTGGAAGAGGGTCGTTCATCTTGCAGTGTGGTCAATCGGATGGCTTTTTGTTGTTGTTGTTAATCCTCACCTGAGGATATCCATTGATTTTTAGAGAGAGTGGAAGGGAGGGGGAGAGACAGAGAGAGAGAAACATCGATGTGAAAGAGACACATGAACTGGTTGTTTTTCTCACGCATCCTGATCAGGGCCAGGGATTGAGCCTGCAACCTAGGTACATGCCCTTGACCAGAATCGAACCCGGGACCCTTCAGTCCCGCAGGCCAACGCTCTATCCACTGAGCCAAACCTGAATAATATTTAAGCCTGAATAATATACAAGTCAATAACTCAAGCATTATGTGAAGACCAAGAAGCAAAAATAATATCCGAAGCTATATGAACACTTGTTACAGATGAGAACTATGTCCTATGTCAGCAGTTCTCAACCTGTGGGTCGCGACCCCTTTGGGGGTTGAACGACCCTTTCACAGGGGTCACCTAAGACCATCGGAAAACACATATATAATTACATATTGTTTTTGTGATTAATCATTATGCTTTAATTATGTTCACTTTGTAACAATGAAATTGGGGGTCACCACAACATGAGGAACTGTATTAAAGGGTCTCGGCATTAGGAAGGTTGAGAACCACTGTCCTATGTGATCCACACAGGTCTCCTCATGCTTTCCACACAATCTGTCCCCGGGGAAGCTACTGGAGAGGACAATAGAGGAACACCTAAGCTGGGTCCTGCACTCAAGTCATTCGAAACACATAAGCGCTCAGTTCCGAGGGCTGCCTCGGCTATCGCTGCCACAATAGTTGTGCAGGGCGTGCATCCAGGACCAGGAAGGGACCAGCCCTATTGTCAGAGAAGATCCATTCTGAGACACACGCTGGCTTGGGTAGGGTGGACGCTGAAAGCCACGCAGAGGAATTTCTGAACTTTGCTTCCTCCATCACCGGACAGCCTCTGATTTTTCCACTCACCGCCTCTTCCACTTTACTGCTTCTCTTTAGCAGAAAACGCTCCACGTGATGACCACACCATCTCTGATAAGGATTCAAATCTAACATATAATGTCTTCCCACATGTGCTACAATGTTCCCTCAGATACACTCAGCGGAAGACAGTCGGGCCAATGTCATCAGGTAGAAAAAGGAGGTTTAGAAACAATCAGGATTTTAAAGATAGAGTAAGCTAAGGGAATACCTGTCAAATTGGTGGGGATTGGTGAGGGAGATATAATTAGGACACCACAAAGACCTCTCTTCCAGGGATCTGATTAGAAAAGCCAAATATGTAGCTCAAGGGGGACCAGTGATGGATGCACAGTTTTAGGCTAAGAACTGTGACATGAAAGGTTGGCACTTCATTAAGTCACCTCGAGATGAAAAGAGGCCTGGAGGAAAAGGGGGCTGAATTCCTGAATAGTTATAGTCTGCAAAGCTAACAATGTAACCTGAACTATATTTGTTGTTGTTTTTGAAATGTTTTTATTGATTTTATAGAGAGAGGAAGAAAGGAATAGAGAGATAGAAACATTAATGAGATAGAAACATCAATCAGCTGCATCCCACAACTGGAGCATGTGCCCTAACTGCGAATCGAACCGGAGACCTCTTAGTTCATGGGTCGATCTTAACCACTGAGCAACACCGGCCAGGCTGTATTTGTTTTTTTGTTTGGTTGTTTGGTTGGTTGTTGTTAATCTTCACCCAAGGAGGGGAGAGTGGGGGGCGAGGGGGGGGAGAGAGAGAGAGAGAGAGAAACATCAATGTGAGAGAGACACTGATAATCAAACCCGCAACCCTTGGGTACTCCGGCTGACATTCTAACCACTTAGCAACACCAGCCGGGGCATAATCTGAATTGTAATACACCGAAACTGTATACATTTGATCCTATGCTGGCCTCGCCCTCTAGTAACATTCATTTTTAAGCATGAAACAGTCTCTATGTGTGTTGGGCTGCAGAGAACAAGGTAAGAAGGGGAAGCACTAGGGAAGATGCCAGAGAAAATAGAACCCAAGGCAAAGTCCTTGATCAGGGAAATAGCCAAACTTTTTAATTGAATTGAAGCCACAAAGAATGAATTTGGTATCTGTCAAGAACATGCCTGCATATGTACTAAACTCTGCTTAATCGCTCTGTATGAAACGTTATGTGTGGGCCATATGGAAATGCATGTAAGCATTGCTCATGCACCTCGAACATGCTGAGAAATGCTGACAACACGTTCCAACACAAATCTCTGTGTCTAATTATATTCCTAACTGATACATGAAACTATACCATGTAGAGGCATGCTCCTGTGAGTAGAAAAATCAACAATATAACAAAAAGGGGACAAACCAGTAAAGGCCTATCACTTAAAACAATATTTTAAAGCACAATTATGCAACTATAAGCCTACTGAAATGCATGATTGACTTAAAAAGAAACTCACAGTATCTTAAGCTGATAAAGAAATTACTTAGTAAATAAAAGAATACCCAAGCTCTACGGGATTATCCCCAAAATAAAAGATCAGCTGGACTGGTTGATATAACTATGCAAAGACAAAAGATTCAGAGTTGCATCTGCCTGGAAGAGAAATCCATTTCCTATAAACCTATGTTGCCATCAGTTCTATCTGGTATGCTTTTTAGGATAAAAATTGATCACAACTTTAGATATAGGACAGATAAAGCATTAGAGCTGCACTGTTCACACAGTAGCCACTAGCCAAGTGGCTATTGAACACTTTAAATGTGGCTTGTCCAAATTGAGCTGGGCTATAAAAATGCACACTGGATTTCAATGACAGGATCAAAAGGGAAGAATATAAAATATCTCATGAATGTTTTATATGGACTATATGTTGAATAATTATATCTTGGATATATCAGGTTAAGTAAAATCCATTAAAATTGACGTCACTTATTTCTGTCTTTATCTCTTGATACAGCTACTAGAAAGTTTAAAGTCACATGTGGGTTTGCCTTTGTGGCTTGCGTTATATTTCTATCGGAAAACACTGCTTTAGGGTGCATAAGAAATACTGGAACTGCCAGCCCTCTGTGGAGTCCAGTTCCACTCTGTATTTTAGGCAGAGATTAGCAGGGACTACGTAAAGTAACCAGAGTATAATCCTTTACTTCCTTCCTTCTCCTCCCATTACCAAGTGCCTGATTCTCTATATGTCTCCTTTGCAGTTACCAAGGAAGAGAATCAGTTTGGCCTAGATAATCGTAAGTGGCCCTCTCAAGTCAGCTTTTGTATTGGGTACATCACAGGTCCCCAGCCTATGGACTGGCTATCCTTGAGTCAGGTGTTCATCCCTAGACCAATCCTTGTGATTGGCTGGGGGGAGAGGGGGTGAAGGAGGCGTGGGTCAGGTTAAACAGAGTACAGGAATGATCTGGAACCTCCTCTGAGCAGGGGCTATAAATGACCAGCTTTGCTTGGAGGGGACTGTGGGAATGCCCGGCGGCACAGACTGGGCTGGCCAGCAGGGAGTTAATTCAAAAACTGAGAGAGCATGATGCATGCACATTCAAAGGTCCTGTGAGTGCGAGAGCCGAGGACTATTTCCTGAACGATGCTCCGGATACAATTTCAGCCAAGCCATTCTACAAATAACAATAATAACAGATCTAGTCTCAAAAACATTTCAGTCACATCTAGCAACTAGCTGGCCAGCTTAAACAAGAACTTTAGGCAGGGAGAGGGAGAATGCAGAGACAGAGGAAGCAATATATGGAACACAACCAACCAATCAAAGTCCCAGTCCCAACCATTCCATCACATCACCATGTGACTTTGGACAAGACACTTTAACCCCTCCTGCCTCCGTCTTCTCTGGTACAAAATGACAGGGAGATGAGGATTGGATGCAATGATAGATGGAAAGGTGCTTTTTAAAGTTCGAAGAGCTGCACAAATGTTATATTTCAAGCATGAGCTGTCATTAACTCTACGTTGACTATTGAAGGAGCAACCGCACAATAAATCTGACCTCAGTGAATACACCCTGTCTGGGGACCATCTGGTGGTACTTTTCTCAGCCTTGTTAAAACGTGGCAAGTGTTAGCTCTCGGCTCTCGTTCTCTGTTAGCACTTACCTCTCGCTGTGGTTTCATCTGTAATGTGCCTTCAGGAATTCACGCCAGTACATCAAACCCGCTGTCAGGCCAGCAGCCCGACATGAGCCACACCGTATGCATCTGAGAGAAATACAATCAATCAGACCTGTGGCGAATGACAACTGTCAACTGAATCTGATGGTGGCTTTCTCCAACAGCTGTCAGAATATCCAAGACTTACACCCTATCCTGATGCCCTACCACAGCATTTGTTTAGAGAATTCAAATGGTGAGCAGAGCTGTAAAAGAAAATTCAGCTCTCATGTTTTGGGCCCAGATTTATTTCCATGCAATATCTTGGGAAAACAAAATAGAATTGTCCTTATATGATGCCTGATTTCATTCCCATGAGATAAATTACCTTTTCTTTTTTTCTTCCCCAAAAAAGTACTCAGTTTTACAGAGAACCAATCCAGAAATACTGAGGATGTTTTCATTTTTGTTGTTGTTCCTTTATGGAGGGTCTGGCACTTCTATTATACCAACAACAGGAGAAGAGGGTTTACCAAATATTTGCATCATTAAATAGAAACACAGGAATTTCCATGGCTTGTGAAAAAGGAGCTCTGTGTCTTTAAGGCTCCACGGGGCTCTGGGCTGGGAGGCAGACAGACCAGCGCTGCTGCAGCAGCGACTCATCCTATCGATAAGGTTCAGTTAGCCAAGGTGGAGGATGGGAAAAGAATGGAGCTGTCCCAGCTACTCAATGAGATCAGGGCAAACTATGAAAAGCTCCTCACCAGAAATCAGATAGAGACCGTGCTCTCAACAAGGATCCAGGTAATGATTTCATACAGACAGACACCCTCCAGGATAAGGAGACAATCCATGTCTATCCAATTCCTGTCCCGGCCTCTCTGAGGTACAGTATTTCCTTTTCAATGCAGCGTATACTGGGGAAGGAATTTAGGTTTTACTGCAATGTGACGGGGACTACAGGGGGAAATGCTGTGATTATACTGTTAAGCGACCATGAAATAAGTGTTGATTGATGCATTTAATTTTTATGTAAATTATGAGGTAACGGTCATTAATAAACCATGGGGTCAACATACAATAAAATGGTGCACTCGAACCTCTTTCGACATCCTCCAAGGAGGAAGCATTTCAAATATCCTTCAAAGATAATAGTTACTTATAGAGATAATTTAAATGACATCTTAAAAATGGCAAGCTTTATAGTAAGATTTATTAGCTTGCACACTTTGTAGAGGAAAACTAGCTAAAATATTTTTAATGAGTTCAGTTGTATTCCAGATCGTTATAAATAGAAATCATCTGGGCATAAGAACAGGGCATTCAGAACAATTCTGATATAAATCAGGACAATCACCCCCCCACCACCACCACCGATTGATAGACTCTCCACTTACATTATAGATTTTTGCTTTTGTGCTATAAGATGAGAATGTTTATTTCCAATATTTAGGCATGCTATATTTAAGTTTTAAAGACAAGAGAGAGCCAAGTTAAATAAGGGTTAAATCCTAGTTTTATAGACTTACTTTGTTTTAAAGTGACAATCACCTTCAGCAATTAATTAGGATCTCAAATCTTTAAACAAAGGTACAAACAAATATTTTAGAAACAAAGATATAGAAATTCAGGGATTTTTTTTGTTTTTTTAGTTTACCTACCATATCTGAGTTCAAGTCCTATTCTGAGCACCCAAATGCTGCAAGGAGTTTACTTAAGAACATCACAAAAACGGGAAAAAGTATTGCTGGGAAATCATGGGACTTTACTCCATTAGCAATTCATTTTTAGTAACATTATAAATTTTACCTCTGGATAACACTGTCAGTCTTCATAGAGAATGACCAGTATCCTGGATTAAGCAGAGTCACTGGAATATTTAACTGTTGGAATAGTTCATTCACCTTTTACAAAGAAAGGGGGGGAGGGGGAATGACCATTAATTTTTAATGACAATTTATGAAAATTATAAACCTAATAAACACTTTTTTGCATTAGTAAAAATACAAGTTATTTAGTTTACAAGTCACAATGCTAAAATGCATCAGCTAAAGCCAAAAGCAAGACTACATACAGTACATTTTGTTTAGTCCTTTTAACTTATCTACCTTAGAGGATTGTTTTCAAAGAATTCAGAGTCAGCTGAAATAAATTCAAGAAAGCCTGTTTTTACACAATTATTACACAATAGGGAGCTATTTCAGTTACTTATTACTATTTAACAACTACCCCAAAACTTAGAGTAAAGAAGTCATTGTATTCCCTCTCACGATTCGGTGGCTTGACTAGGTTCACTGGGGGTGACTTCAGCTGGACGTGACATTGGCTGGGACTGCAAGCATCTTGGGGCACAACTGGGCTGGGTCATCCAAGGTGGCTCATTCATGGGCCTGGCACCTTGGGATTTTTGAAAGGCTGGCTCAGCAGAGACAAATGTTTCTCTCTCTCCATGTAGCCTCGGGATCTGTCTCCATCTGGCCTCTCTATATGATACTTCTTACGTGCTGGTCCAAAAGCACAGAAGCTCCCAAAAGCATAGAAGTGCAAGTTGTCAGGATTTCTTAAAGGCTTAGGCCTAAAACTGATACTTCTGCCGCATTCTACGGGCTAAAGCAAGACATAGGTCAGCCCAGATTCAATGTGGAAGGCCACCACACAAAGACATCCATTTTGGGACGGGTGGTTCATTGAAGGCCATCTTCAGAATCTAGCTACTATCCAAGCTTCGCTGCCCATTCCAAAATGCAAAAGACCAATGAACACCATCGTTTTCATGTACTCCTATCTCCTAAATTCTCAACACTTCCTTTTGTAGTTGCTCTGATATGTGATGCTGCTTGCTTTTGCCAACAATGCTGAGAACAACAAATCAAAAGAAACATATAAATGTTATCTAATACTTTGCCCTAAACTTCATTATAGACTTTCATGTACCGCAGTGTTTCCTCCTTTAAAACATCTGTTGTATCATCATATTACATTTTTTAAATTTTAAAATGCATTTTTATAAAAACATAAAAAGGTTGTAACTTTTGTTTCAAAATATTACAACCAACTTCATACACTGTTCCTACTGCTCGTGGGGCCAAATGTTCAGAATTCTGTCAAAAGATACTTTCATTGAATTTCAACATCAGTATAAGAACATTTAAAGCTAACCATACAATAATCCATTTGTTATTTAATATGAGGACATTAAGAAAACAATTTTGAAGGAAGTCATTTTTTGCTTCTACCTCAGATAAACAAAATTAGCATGCCTTCTAAAAAGATCATACTGAAAAAGATAAATCAATAGTGGGTTAGCTTAATTCCGAAATCTATATTAGAGTTTCTAATGTCTATGATAACTTAATTCTCTAAATTATTCATAATACACTTTCCAGCAATATTTACTCCCTGTCTATGTACCCATTCCAATAATGGATTAATATAGGGTATATAACAGTTTATCTGCTTTTATAAAGCAACCAACAAGAAAATATGGGGGGGGATAGTAGCTAATTTCAATCCTTCTTCCTTATTAATGCCATAAATACTGGAAAGTTAAGAATCAGAGGTCTCCAACTCAGGTCCTATAAACTGTTACTTTTTGTTAAAATAGGTGTATTTTTTTCCTGCATTTCATAGACTGCCATAGTAGGAAGAGACTTTTGAGGTTCGTTTTACATCTGAGAAAACTGAGGCTGAGAGTGCAATGGACTTGCTCAGACATTTAAATGATTAGTAACGCAGCACTAAAACATACATTTGTAATCTAACAACTTAAAGAAAATAATGATTCGATTCCCATGCTATTTTTCTATCATTGCTCTTAAGTGCCTCACTTTCAAGAGTGCTCTTTGTTTCCTTGTTATTGTTGTTGTTGGCTCTCTTCTAGCTGGAAGAAGATCTGAGCAAAAAAATGGACAAAGATGAAGAGGCTTTAAGGGCAGCTCAAGCAGAACTCAAGGAAGCCCGGCGCCAGTGGCACCACCTGCAAGTGGAAATTGAATCTCTCCACGCTGTGGTGAGCCTGTCTCCAGAGCAACTGGCCCATGGAGTCCCCAGATGCTACATGATTAAGGGGGAGGGGGGAGGGGGAGAGGGGGAGGGGGGATATAACCCCATTACCTTAGAGTGAGAAACTCACTGTGAGCAAGAAATCAAGCCACTGAATTCTACCCCAGGTCCTAGTTTAACTACCCTTTTCCCTCCTTCACTCAAGGTATAGTTCGCCCCAATACAAATTAAGTGATCCTTGCTTATTGCCCTGTGGTTCTCTACTTGTTGGAGTGGGGGAATAGAGCTCTTGTCATTATCCAAAGTCACCACAGTGGAGAGTCCATACTTTTGAGACGTCTAATAAGAAAATATTTAAACACTTTCCGAAAATGCTTTTTATATGCAGTCTGCTTTGGCTTTGTTATTTAATAGTCTATATTTTTAATACTTAAAAAAGAATGATACGTTAATCACACTGCAGAATTCTTATTCTTTCTTTAATTTTTTCTTTTTTATTGATTTCAGAGAGGGAGGGAGAGGGAGAGAGAGACAGAAACATCAAAGATGAGAGAGAATCATTGATCAGCTCCTCCTGCACACCCTCTACTGGGGATCGTTCCCACAACTTAGGCATGTGCCCTTGACCAGAATTGAACCCAGGACCCTTCAGTCCACTTAATCTACTAAGCCAAACCATTACCTCTCATCTAAGTAATGTAGTATTACAACCTTTTTAAAAAGAGAAAAAACACAATAGAATGAAGACATTGCAAATCAGAATTCAGAAACTCATTGTGTTCCACTGACTCATTGATGAAGATCTATCTAAAACAGGAACGGGGCCTCGAAAACTCCCTGCAGGCCAGTGAGCAGCATTACCAGATGCAGCTGCAAGACCTGGAGGCTGTGATTGAAGGACTGGAAAAAGAGCTACAGGAAGTAAGGCAAGGCATCGAGAAGCAGCTCCAAGAGCATGAGATGCTTCTCAACACGAAGATGAGGCTAGAACAAGAAATAGCCACGTACCGCCGCCTCCTAGAAAAGGAAGAAATCAGGTACCTAATCCCATGTGGTTCATGACAAGCGGCCAGAAATGCAGAGCCACTTACGCCATTGTTGACGTAATCAGAGAAATTGAATCTAAAGAAATCACCCCCGTGGCAGGACCACTGAGTCTCTACAATTAAATAGGAGTAGTACGCACTGCAAAGAATATGAGAAGTATTTCCAGCCTCCACAGATCATGGACAAAATAACCAATGTCCGGGACATAAGCTACAACAAGGAGCACAGCAAGACTAGAACATGTAAATGTAAATAATTACCAATCAATACAAAAATGACCTTTCTAAACTTTCTCACTCTCCTTGCCACGCAAAACTTTTAGAATTAGTCATTGCCTTATACGGACCACCCACAAAGAAAGTTTGGAAAACTATTACTACCACATCCCCACACACACAAAGGCCCACTCCCACCACACATCAAACACCAAAATATTACAACCAGGGGAAGCAATGGTGTTTGGAGTATATGATTTAGAAGACTTCCAGATGTCCCAATAACAAAAGGTACCAGAGGAATTCTTATTGATTCACACAATTTCAGAATCTGCAATCATTTATAGGGTCATATGGCTTTGAACACAGCACAACCTCCAATTTTCCATGTTCCCATAAAAACAAAACTAGTCTTTTTTTTAACCCTTTGTACGCCATAAGCACCAAGGGCGTGTGGGGATGGTTTCCGTTTTGGGTGTGTGGCAGTTAACTGGTTAAATATATTTTTTAAAATTTTCAAGTACAGTCAACATACCATATATTAGTTTCAGACATACAACCCAGTGATTAGACATGTATACAATTTTTTAAATCATCTAATAAATCTAGTAACCATCTGACATCATGCATAGTAATTACAATACTACTGACTATATTTCCTACACTGTACTTTACATCCCCATGACTATGCTAGAACTACCAGTTTGTACTTCTTCATCCCATGCCTCCAACCCCCTCCCATGGGCATCTATCAAAATGTTCTCTGAATCTATGATCTGTTTCTGGTCTGCTTGATCATTTGTTTTGGTTTTTAGATTCCACATATAAGAAATCATATGGCATTTGTCTTTCTCTGTCTGACTTACTTCACTCAGCACAACACCCTCGATCCATCCATGTTGCAGATAGCAAGATTTCATTCTTTTTTACTTTAATGGTTGAGTTATATTTCATTGTATATAAGTACGTCTTCTTTAAAAATAAACCTTTATTCTTGCTTGCTTCAGAATTCTGAGTCTTCTATAAAACTAGATGAAACTGCTTTAACCTATAATGTCTTGACACTTACTAAATCTTTGAAAACCGTAAATCAAATTCAAATATACCACTTACTAGCAGAGTGAAGCCAGGCAGGTTACTAAACCTCTCTGTGCATCAGTTTTCTCATCTCTAAAATGGGAACAATATTGCCTACCTCATAGCATTGCTATGAAGATTAAACAAATTAATGTTTGTAAAGTGCTTAAAATAGTATTATGTAAATATACATACAATTTATTATTAAATAAAATTAAAGGTTGTGAAATTTATTTAATTCCTAATCCTTCAAAATATTGGTAACTTGGTTTTTAATATTCCTGTAATACAATTTTTATTATGCTGTATTTAATATATACAAGAAAGTATCAAGAAAGATGTAATGAACTCCCGTGTATGCACGTCCCCCAGCTCAGTGAGACATATACAATGTTGTTGAAGTCTGTTCCACTCCCCATCCCCCACACCTAAACCACATCCCCCCAATCTCATCCTCCTCCCTCAATCTAACCTGGCTCCCAAATTTGATGCTAATTATACGAATATGTCTGTATCCCTAAACAAAATATGAAATTGTTTTGCATATTATTTTAACCTTTATAAACGTACTCTTTTTTTCACTCCATGTTATACTTGGGAGATTCATCCATAAGGATCCAGTGTACCCTGAGCTCATTTATTTTCACTGCTAAATAGTATTTCCGTTGTATGACTATACTACAGTTATCCATTCTGATTAGTGAGCATCTGTTTCCATTACCTGCTAATATTTTGTTGCTCCTACAATATAATTCTTTCCAATTTCAGATATTATGGTTGTATCCAAGGAGGAAAAAAAGAAAAAAAACCTACAACTAGAGTTGGTTTTGTTTTACCTTCAGGTGAGTTTCTGATATTAGTAATTTAACTTGAAAAGCGAAGTGCCATTAGTAGGGATTATAAATAAATTGAGCACTCTAACATAGCAAAAATAAGCAGTATTTACATAAATTTTAACATGTGAATTGACTGTGATTAATACTTCAACATTGTAATTTAATATTTCATAAATAAAATTTTTCACAGCCATTATAAATGAAATCTCTTTTTCAACAAAAGTCCCACAAAAGTGTGAGAATGAAAAAGTGGAAACAGTGACCAAACAGGCAATATTAAATGGAAATATGGTGAAGGAGAGCACTGAAGCTCATGGCACTATTCAGTAAGTAAAGTAATTCTGACTAAGAAATAAAATAAACGTGTAAAGAAATTAACTTCAATCAAATAATCTCAGTAATCTTTGTTTGAATGTTTCCAAACATAATTTTAATTTGCTGTGATTTTTAATCTGACATGAGTAAGTATATATAAACGAAAACTCAGATAAAGGAATGCTCACTTCTTAATTCACCATTTTTTTAAAAAATATAGCAACACATGAGAGTTCTAAAGAATCCCTTGAAATTATAGTTATATGATTTTTTAAAGTATATAAATTTTAAATATCATGATGTACATTGTAAAACTTAAAATGTAAATTATAAATTATTCAAACTTCTTGATTTCTTTTTCATATGGAATATATATTACATATTTCTTAATACATCCGTACGTCTTCATATAGAAAGGTTTATTTTATCATTTCAGGACCGAGAAAGTGGATGAAGTTATTAAAGAATGGGAAGGTTCCTTCTTTAAAGATAACCCTCGGTTAAGGAAAAAATCTGTTTCTCTTCGCTTTGACCTTCATTTAGCAGCCACTGATGAAGGGTGTTTACAGACTAAACAGGATAATCTACCAGATATAGAAGTCAGGCTTATCATGAGGAGATCATGCAGTATTCCCTCTATCAAACCTCCATCAGCAGCTCATTAACCCAAAGACAGTATTTGACTTGACTTGAAAATGACATTAGGATGGACCAAGGTGGGCGACGCTGACTACCTTCTGTCCCAAATGTAAGTTGAAGTATGAATGTTATGATTGATGTGTGATACTCTTTGTGGGCGGGGGGATGGCAAGGGGCAAAATTTCTCTGCATTTAACTATGGATATATTTTTTGGAAAGGAAAGTGCAAATAAAATCAGAAAATCAGAAAATCAGTATGATTTCTATTTTATTTATCCTCCAAATAATCGTTTTTGTTCCCTTGAAATTTTATCAGAGATGGTAAGCATTAGCAGCTTAGTAAAATCTGTGACTTAATGCCTGAATACTCTAAGGAAAAGGGAATGGTTTATCTAAATATGATTGTACTATGTTAAGAATCACACTGAGTAATTCATCACTCTTCTATGACTGGTTATATCTACAAAGATTTTTCTAATTGAAAAAGAAAACAATTATACAACTTTTAAAGAGGACTCCCTATTCCCTTAACCAAAAATGTTCCTTTTGAGACAATCATTTGCACACTTAGAAAAATAACAGTTACTTTCCATGAGCAGTTTTGAGCAAAGTATAGAACATAGCCCAATTCTAATTTGATTAAATAAAATTAACCTTCATCTGAAAGTGTTTTGTAGTCATGTGATTTCCAGAAGAGTTACTTTATTCAAAGAACTTTAAAAATTGTCCTTTATCAACAACAAAAAAAGAGGCCAGTTGCACAAAATATGAAAAGCTGATTACTACAGTTTCTAGAACATTATCCAACCTCTCCCTATCCCAATTTTTCCATCTGTAAAGTTAAATGTGATTAATTGGAGTATTTGGTGTGAGCATTAGGTAAAACATTATATAAAGTCTTATAAGTATTTCCTGCAATCATTTATGTGAATTAAGACAATAGTATTGTTATCGAAGCTATGAGTATTTGCAGGATTTATGTTTTTAAATTGTTCCAAGTGTAATAAATATGGATAGAAAATATATTTATGAGTAAGTAGTGTTGCAGAGGTTTTTAAACAACCTAATTTGTTTAATACAGGTATATTTCTTTTAAAACCTTAAATAAAAAAACCTGTTTTAAACATTAGAAATTTATAGGCTATTAATTTTTTTCTAAACAGAAAATATGTTGAGTATCACTCACCATACTGTTATCCCAACTAAAGAATTATCCAAGGGCTATAGCTGTTAGCATTTTAGTACAGCTTTTTCAACTGAAACCTCTCTCTCTCTCTGTCTCTCCCTCTCTCTCTGTGTATGTCTCTCTCTCTTCCTCTCTCTCCTTTATTTCAACAACAAAAAAGGTATATTTTAACCAGAAGAAAGCTATGTTAAATAATCTTTAACATAATACAGGGATATAGTTAAATTTTTCTTTCAATTACTTCAGATTTCTTTAAGTCTTGCTTATTCTATTTAGTGAAAGGAATAATTTTGTTGTCAAGGATACAACAGCATGTTAAGTGCTTATTCTTGCATAAGCATCTAACCTAAAATACATCCTATATGTAAAAGTGTTTAATTTAATGTTAAAAGCTACTAACTTCATAAAGCTTTGAAAACGCAGTCATATAAGCTATTGTACTAAAGTTACTGTACTAAGCAACAGTAATCGTAATGGAATTTATCTAGTGTAATTGATATGCAGTGTAAAGCTTAATAGTGGGCATCATAAATGTAACTGCTTGTAATAGTAATTCCACTATGCAGCTATTGTGTGTAACGTATATTTCAAAATAGAGTATTTGAATTTATAACAAAGTTTTATTTGCTTTGGGGCATTTTAAATTGGGATATGAATTTACCAAAGTAAATGATACCACTATAATAAAAATTATAAAACTGAAACATGAACTCCAAATCTGCATTGTGTTTGAGTTTGAGACAGTGTGTTGAGTTTAATTGTTCTAATATGGTTAGTTCACTTGGGGAATGACGAACTGTAACCATGGCGGAGAGAGAATTTCTTATATAGTTTTTTAAAATATATTTATATTTTTTATTGATTTCAGAGAGGAAGGGGGGGAGGGAGAGAGAGAGAGAGAGAGAGAGAGAGAGAGAGGTAGCAACATCAAAGATAAGAGAGAATCATTGATCGGCTGCCCCCTGCACGCCCTACACTGGGGATTGAGCCTGCAATCCGGGCATATACCCTGACCAGGAATCTAACCATGACTTCCTGGTTCATAGGTGACCGCTCAACCACTGAGCTATGCCAGCCAGGCTATAGTTTTTTAACAAAAGGAAAAGTAAGAATGGTATATTCTAATAAAAAAAAAACACAAAATAATCCCATAATCCCACAAGTATAACAGTTAACCAGAATTTACAAAATGCTTACTCTGCTCCTCACAGTGCACTCCGCGTGCTTGTACAGAATCACTAATCCTTACAACGATCCTACAAGATGTAGAATGTTATCCTCATTTTGTAGATAAAAGAATTTAATATTCTTCCATTATTTTGGCATAATTAAAATGTATGCTTCTAGAACAAAATACAAAAAATACAGAGTAATTCCAATTACTAACAATTGTAGCATCCCTGCCCTGGCACTGTCACTAATTATCCATGTAACCAGGAAGGAATTACTTACATTTCCCAGCCTCAATTTTCACACTTGAAAACAAAGGGAAAGGTGTTACTTGGGAACAATGCCCACCTCCCAGTTGCCTGAAATAACATATATGTGAAAATATTTGACAAAGCCCTACTCAAATATTTGGATGAACTTGTCATTGGGAGAGAATTTCTGAGAACAATTATTGGTGACAGTGATATATCTATGAGCCTAATATGCAAATTGTCCCTGTGGGAGTTTGACCAGGAGACCGACTGCTCGCTATGATGTGCGCTGACTACCAGGGGGCGGCACAGAACGAAGGGAGGCCCCAGCCGGCAGCCGGAAAGCCCCGATTGGCCCTGATCACCAGCCAGGCCTAGGAACCCTACCCATGCATGAATTTCGTGCACTGAGCCTCTAATTAAGTAATAATTTAAAACACAACAGGTAATGAGAATTTTTTAAATTCTTTGTTTGCTTCCAGGAGAGTTATTTTTTTTCCCAATGAGTTACTCAATTTGGACTGCTCACCCATGGATATTTTTCCATTGGTTTTTAGAGAGTGGAAAGGAGGGGGAGAGAGAGAGAGAGACACTCTATCCACTAAGCCAAATCGACCAGGGCTCTACCATAATAGTTTTTAAAGTACAAAAATGTTCCCCAGAGTCAAAAATGCATAAATTATTTAAAAGTGTCAAATGGAATCATTATGGTACATGAGCCAAAATTACACTGTAATTAAATAATATGCATAGCCCTCGCTGGTGTGGCTCAGTCGGTTGGGTGTCACCCAGTACATGGAAAGGTTGCCTGTTCCATTCCCGTCAGGGCACATCCTGGGGCTGCGGGCTGATCCCCATTGTGGGGGGTGAAGGAGGCTTCCTCTCCATATTACACTCTCACATTGGATGTTTCTCCCTCCCTCTCCCTTCCTCTCCTAAAAATCAATAAAAAATATCAAAAAAAACAAATATCAATAAATAATATGCAGACACGTTACTCAAATGATCAACAGAAGAAAAAAAAAAGTTTGTGCCAAAGGCAGAATTTAGTTCTGTGTTTACAAGGTATGGCCAGCATGTACACACGTTGCCAGTACTCATGGACATGTTGCAAATAAACATTTTGAAAGAAGGTATATGTGCAAATCACTACAAGCCTTTTCCAGTCTCCCTCACACACTTAGACCCTAGACCACCGTCAGCGAACTTGGGGCCGCACCTCCACACACATTTCCTGAGCATCTAACCACGGGCCAAGCCTTGGCAGACACTGGCAACGTGCAGATGACCGATGAGATGACTGGGCTTTGTTTGCAAGCCCCTCGCCCTGCATTAAAGGTGACAAACGCGCTCGGGTGCCTTGGGTCAGGTACAGACTACAACCAAGATGTCAAAGAGCCGTGGCGTCGAGAGGAAGGATTACTGGGGGTTGGGGGGCCAGGAGGGCATCAGAAAGAGACGTGTGAGCCAGATCCGAAAGGACAGATGCGTTTAACCTGAAAGCGCGGGGCAGGCATTCCCGTCGATGGGAGCCCAACGAGCCCAGACGACGTTGGGCCGAGACCAGTGGCACCTCCACTCCGCAAGGGCGCCCCACCGAGGCCAGGGCATCCACATGGCTGGGCCTCGGCTCCGAAACCGGTGGCAACGGCACCAGATTCGACCTTGGAAAAACGGGAAAAGCCCGTGTCGCGAAGGCAGGAAGCCCGCCCGAGAGGCGCCCGTGGGGACGGACACGCCGCGCCTCCATCCTCGGCGAGAGGAGAAAAGGACCCGGCGGGGTAGCGGGGTGGGGATCGCCGAGCCGGCGCGACCCGAGCCTGGCCCGTGCGGCCGCAGTGGTTCCGGGGCCTCCTGCGCGGCGACCCCCGGCGTCTTCCGGCCCCGCGCGTGGAGTCGAGGCCGCGGCTCCCAGTGCCCTCGGAGCAGCCTCGCACGTCCCGCCCCCTCCGCCGCCGCCGCCGCCCCCTTCACGGCCGCGGGACGCAGGCCTCTCGGGCGGGCCGCCCCTCCGCCTCCCGCCGTGACGAATCGGCGCCCGCCTGGAACGGCACCCGAACTCGGCGGATTCGGCGGCACACACAGGACCTGAAAAAAAATCCGTGACTCCCCGAAGCCTCGGGCGTCCTCGCGAGGTAGGTCTCCTTTTTCCAAAGAAAGGTCGGCTGCGCCACGCAGAGAAATTGAGGTCGTCTGTGGAAATTACGTAGCGCGGACTCTTCGCCTCCAAAGGGCGGGGCGGCTCGCGAGACAAAGGGAAGCGAGGCCCGGAGCTGCGGGCGCCTTTCCTGCCGCGGGTGAGTGTTTCCCGACCGGGCCCCGGCGGGTCGGGAGGAGGCCGGCGGCGGGGTCCCGGCGCGGCTGGACGGCGGGGGCCCGGGGTTGCTGGGGTTCAGGTCTGGCCGCGGGGCGGAGCCGGGGGCTGGTAGCGGCCTCCCTGCGGCCTAGCGAGGCGGGGCGGGGAGTCCCTTTCGGGTTTCCCATTCGGGTTCCCTCCTGGGCGGCTAGACTCGCCCCTGCCGCCGACCCCGCGAAATGGGTCCAA